TCATAGGTTATTTAAGAAGGACAACGAGATAACCGGATAGAGCGGTTCATTGTATACTCATTTATATAATGGAGGCGATTGGTCTCATAGTCGCTTGTGTATAAACACTAGATGTATAGTGCAAGTGCTCATTGGAAAATGAGTTCACTGATTGATCCGCTTACAAAATACTATATGGTTAATGATACCTGATGTTAGACAATGATTCTGTAGTCTAAATTGTGTATCTAGTCCTTAAACTTAAGACACAAAAAATGTCTTATATGAGTACTCTATTCTTTGATGTTGGAGTTATAGGTTTGAAAGTTTCAGATCTGGTATAATTGATTCTCGAGAATAACAACTAACTTTACAAAGACGATTGAGTGTCAACAGAAGATCATCCACTCTCAGTATCGCGAGAGGAATATCCCATGCGTACTCATTCAAACAAAATCTCTAGCTAGGGTTGTTCGGATTAGAAAATCCGATTAGAGCGAGACTCAAATAAGATTTCATATGGGCCTAACATTACCATGCCCAATATACAATCTTTGAGATATTAGATAAATGAGGGGTTATAGACACATGATAACTAACGATAGATATGTTCAATGGAGTAGATCCCCTATATCATTTGGGGACTATGACATAGTAGCTCAGTACGAATATAGTCGATGAATCGAGTGAATTATTATGAAGATAATAATTCACTATATCAAAAGAAGTTCTAATAGGATCGACTCACGGCCAACTCAGTATCAGACCTAAAGAGTCACATATATATGGTAGATATTACAACGAGTAGAGGTATAAATATGATGATTGGATAAGTGGATAAGATCCAATTTGATGATTGGATATAGGTCAAATTAGATGGTTGGATAAGATCTAATTGAATAATCGAATATAGATCTAATGAGATTCATAGGCTAGAACTATTGATGGTCGTCGCCTTACGGTGTGCGTGGAGAGGGAGATCCTATAGCGATATGAGCATTATATCCCTTGTGTGGATCATCGCTAAGAGGAGTACGCGAGTTCTCTTTCATCTCTTTCATCTATTCCGTTGAATCTGAAAATTTCGAGGATATACGATCTCCCCAAGTAACACTTCTCACACGATACATATGATTTTTTGATTTTACAGTTTTCTCGTGCACCAATCGTCACACAACGACCAAGTACTTAAATTTGAAAATTCTGATTTTATTTATTGTTTTCCGTTGCGCTTGAGATACTGACTTATGATTTCTTAGTAATATACTATATTTTTAAAAATATATGTATTATTTTACACATGAGCAAAACTATAAAAGCTTAAGTGACCAAAATCATATGAGCTAAAATAGATCTTTTTTAAAATTTAAATTATATATATCATTGCATTAATAATTTATTATGAGTTAACATGACACCTGAGTAATATTTGTTAACTTAGATTCATGGGAGAGACTTATATACTATATTTTTAAAAATATAAGAGTTATTTTAGACACGAATAAATCATAAGGCCTCCTTAGGGTACTGAACCACCAGCTCCTCGTCGGTTGGGGTGGAACCTGAACCCAGGTGGGAGCCTCAGCACTCCATGCCTCGCAACAGCACCCGGCTTCCTATCCATCTGCAACTCGAACCAGGAAACAGAGGAAAGAAACTACTGCACCCAGCAGCAACAACAACGACAGCGAGGTCTCTCTTTGTCGAGCTTAAGGTCGATTCATGCTTTTTCTTCGTCCGGTTAGCGGAAAGAAGGTGCAAGGAGTAAGTGGACAAGGAGGTGGAGAGGGCGAGAGCGTGGGTGGGGGTGGGGATGTGGGTGAGGGAGTGGTGGTGGTGGTGGTGGTGGTGGTGGTGGGCTTTACAGGAGAGGTTGCGGCCGCAAGGCGACG